CAGGTGTGGGGCTGGGCAGGTGTGGGGCTGCTGGGCAGGTTCCTGTACCTGAGCACCATGGAGCGCGGAGAGCTGGCCAAGAAGATCGGCACCACCCCCGACATCGTGAGTCACACCTGGGCAGGTGTGGGGCCGGGCAGGTGTGGGGCACACAGGTGTGGGGCTGGGCAGGGGTGGGGCTGCTGGGCAGGTTCCTGTACCTGAGCGCCATGGAGCGCGGAGAGCTGGCCAAGAAGATCGGCACCACCCCCGACATCGTGAGTCACACCTGGGCAGGTGTGGGGCCGGGCAGGTGTGGGGCACACAGGTGTGGGGCTGGGCAGGTGTGGGGCTGCTGGGCAGGTTCCTGTACCTGAGCGCCATGGAGCGCGGAGAGCTGGCCAAGAAGATCGGCACCACCCCCGACATCGTGAGTCACACCTGTGGGACACCTGTGGGGCTGGGCAGGTGTGGGACAGGTGAGGTTTGAGACAGGTGAGGTTTGAGCCAGGTGAGCTTTGGGCCAGGTGAAATTCTGGACAGGTGAGGTTCAAACAGGTGAAGTTCAGGACAGGTGAGGCTCGGTACAGGTGAGGATTGAACAGGTGAGACTCGGGACAGGTGAGGATTGGACAGGTGAGGATTTGGACAGGTGAGGGTCAGGACAGGTGAGGATTGGATAGGTGAGGATTGAACAGGTGAAATTCTGGACAGGTGAGGATTGGACAGGTGAGACTCGGATCAGGGGAGGATTGGTCCGGAGAGGTTACTGCACGGTAAGGTGAGGATTGGACAGGTGAGGTTTAAACAGGTGAAGTTCAGGCCAGGTGAGGCTCAGGACAGGTGGGGATTGGACAGGTGAGAGGACAGGTGAGGATCGGACAGGTGACACTCGGAACAGGTGAGGATTGGACAGGTGAGGTTTGACCAGGTGAGACTCGAGACAGGTGAGGTTTGGACAGGTGAGGATTGAACAAGTGAGGACTGAACAGGTGAGACTCAGAACAGGTGAGGATTGGACAGGTGAGGATTGAACAAGTGAGGACTGAACGGGTGGGGTTCAAACAGGTGAGACTCGGGCCAGGTGAGGTTTGGACAGGTGAGAGGACAGGTGAGGCTCAGGACAGGGGAGGATTGGACAGGTGAGGTTTGGCCAGGTGAGACTTGGGCCAGGTGAAATTCTGGACAGGTGATGTTTGGCCAGGTGAGGGTTGAACAAGTGAGGACTGAACGGGTGAGGTTCAAACAGGTGAGACTCGGGACAGGTGGGGATTGGACAGGTGAGGTTCAAACAGGTGAGAGGACAGGTGAGGCTCAGGACAGGTGAGGTTTGACCAGGTGAGGATTGGACAGGTGAGGTTTGACCAGGTGAGGATTGGACAGGTGAGGTTTGACTAGGTGAGGATTGGACAGGTGAGAGGACAGGTGAGGATTGGACAGGTGAGACTCAGAACAGGTGAGGATTGGACAGCTGAGGTTCAAACAGGTGAAGTTCAGGACAGGTGAGGCTCAGGACAGGTGGGGATTGGACAGCTGAGGATTGAACAAGTGGGAGGACAGGTGAGGATCGGACAGGTGACACTCGGAACAGGTGAGGATTGGACAGGTGAGGTTCAGGCCAGGTGAGGATTGGACAGGTGAAATTCTGGACAGCTGAGCTTCAAACAGGTGAAGTTCAGGACAGGTGAGGCTCAGGACAGGTGAAGATAGTACAGTTGAGGCTCAGGTCAGGTGAGGATTGAACAGGTGAGGTTTTGACCAGGTGAGGATTGGACAGGTGAGATTCGGGACAGGTGAGGATTGGCCAGGTGAGGACTGAACAGGTGAGGTTCAAACAGGTGAGACTTGGGCCAGGTGAAATTACCCACACCTGTCCCTCACCTGTCCCAGACCTGTCCCACACCTGTCCCTCACCTGTCCCATCTCACACCTGTCTTACCTGTCCCTCACTTGTCTCACCTGTTATCTGTCCCTCACCTGTCCTTCATTCATCTCTTACCTGTCCGACATCTGTCCTCTCACCTGTCTCACCTGTCACTTACCTGTCCCCCTGCCCCTCACCTGTCCCACCCCTGTCCCATCTCACACCTGTCTCACCTGTCCCACCCCTGTCTCATCTCACACGTTTTCCTTGTCTCACCTATCCCCTGTCCCTCACCTGTCCTTTACCTGTCTCACCAGTCACACCTCTCCCTTCTCACCTGTTCTTCTGTCCCTCACCCTTCCCTCACCTGTCTCACCTTTCACCTCTCACCTGTCTCACCCATCCCTCACGTGTCCCACCCATCCCTCACCCATCCCTCACCTGTCTCACCTTTCACCTCTCACCTGTCCCACCCGTCCCTCACCCGTCCCTCACCTGTCCCACCCGTCCCTCACCCATCCCTCACGTGTCCCACCCGTTCCTCACCCATCGCTCACCTGTCTCCCATCTTTCACCTCTCACGTGTCCCACCCGTTCCTCACCTGTCTCACCTGTCCCACCTGTTGCTCACCTGTCTCACCTGTCTTTGACTTCTCACCTGTCCCATCTCACCTGTTCTTCTGCACCTCACCTGTCCCATCTCACACCCGTCCCACCTGTCTCCCCTGTCCCTCACCTGTCCCACCCGTTGCTCACCTGTCTCACCTGTCTCGCCTGTCCCATCTCACCTGTTCTTCTGCTCCTCACCTGTCCCATCTCTCACCTGTCTCACCTGTCTCACCCGTCCCTCACCTGTCTCACCTGTCTCTCCCCTCTCACCTGTACCACCCATCCCTCACCTGTCCCTCACCTGTCCCACGGTTTGGCCAGGTGAGGTTCAAACAGGTGAGACTCGGAACAGGTGAGGCTCAGGACAGGTGAGGTTTGGCCAGGTGAGTTCCGGGCCAGGTGAGGTTTGGCCAGGTGAGTTCCGGGCCAGGTGCGCCCCTGACCTCTCTCCCCTCCCCCACAGATCCTGGACGACCTCCTGGAGATCGACCGAGTCACCGCCCACTTCTGAGGGACCCAAAATCCCCCAAATTCCCCCCAAAATTAAAAAAAACAGCAACAAAAAAAATTTTCCCTAAAAAACCCAAAAAATCACCTAAAACCCCAAAAAATCCTAAAAAAAACCCCCAAAAAATTTCCTAAAAATCCCCCAAAATTTTTTTAAGATTCCCCTCCCAAAAAAATTTCCCAAAATCCCAAAAAATTCCCACAAAAGCCCCAAAATTCCCGTTTGTAATAAAACGCGATTCTCACATCTGGTTTTGGGGTTTATTTGGGGGATTTTGGGGCAATTCAGGACAAATTCGGGGGAGATTTTGGGGAAGATTTTGGGGGGATTTGGGGGGAAATTGGAGAAATTTTGGGGGAATTCAGGGGTGGTTTTGGGGGAAATTTGGGGGGATTTTGGGGTAATTCAGTGCCAATTTTGGGGGTAAATTTGGGGCAATTTGGGGAAATTTTGGGGTAATTCAGGGCCATTTTTGGGGGGGATTATGGAGGAAATTTGGGGTAATTTTGGGGTAATTCAGGGCAAATTTGGGGGGAATTTTGGGAAAAATTTGGGGTAATCTGGAGGGATTTTGGGGTTCACAGTGGCTTTGGGGCGTTCACAGTGAATTTTGGGGAGGGGGTTTTGGGATTTTTGGTATTTTGGGGGAGATTTTTGGGTGGGTTTCAGGTGGGTTTTTTTATTTTTAATTTTCTGATGAGTTTCGGTCGTTTCCCCAAATTTTTGGGGTTTTTTCGGGGGTATTTTTTCTCTTCTCCAGGTGTTTTTTTGGGTGTTTCCGAGTGGCTTTCACCCTGTTTTGGGAATTTTTTTGGGGTATATCCTGCGGTTTTTGGGCGTTTTCTGTTTTTTCAGACATTTTTGGGGGGGTTTCGGATGGTTTTTCTGGTGTTTTTTGGCTGAATTTCAGTTGTTTTGGGGTACTTCTGGGTGTTTCCAGCTGTTTTTCAGGCGTTTCCGGGTGTTTTTCACTGTTTCTGGCTGGTTCCCTCAAATTTTTGGGGTTTTTTCGGGTATTTTTGGGGGTATTTTTCTCTTCTCCAGGTGTTTTTTTAGGTGTTTCCGAGTGGCTTTCACCCCGTTTCGGGAATTTTTTGGGAGTATTTTCCTGCGGTTTTGGGCGTTTTCTGTTTTTTCAGATATTTTTGGGGGGTTTTCGGATGGTTTTTCTGGTGTTTTTGGCTGAATTTCAGTCGTTTTGGGGTACTTCTGGGTGTTTCCAGCTGTTTTTCAGGCATTTCCGGGTGTTTTTCACTGTTTCTGGCTGGTTTGGGGGTAATTTTTTCCTTTTCTGGGTGTTTCCAGCTGTTTTTCAGGTGATTTTTAGCATTTCCCACTGTTTCTGGCTGGTTTGGGGGTAATTTTTTCCTTTTCTGGGTGTTTCCAGCTGTTTTTCAGGCTTGGCCATTTTGGGTGTTTCCAGCTGTTTCTCAAGTAATTTTTAGCATTTACAGCTGTTTTGGGTAAATTTGGGTGTTTCTGGCTGTTTTTTGTTGTTTTTCAGGTATTTCCAGGTGTTTTTTCCTCTTTCTGGCTGGTTTGGGGGTATTTTTGGCCATTTTGGGTGTTTCCAGCTGTTTTCCAGGTGTTTCCCAGGCGATTTTTGCTGTTTTTAAGATGATTTGGTCTTTGTGTTTCCAGCTGTTTCTTGGGGTGTTTTTGGGCGTTTCCAGCTGTTTTTCAGGGGTTTCTCGGCCTGTTTCCAGCTGAGTTTTGGGGTATTTTAGGGTATTTTGGCTGTTTCCAGCTGTTTTCCAGGTGTTTCACCGATGCTCTCCAGCAATTTTCCTGTTTCCAGCTGATTTTTTGGGTGTTTTCAGGTGTTTCTGGCCGATTTTTGAGGTATTTTTGGGTGGTTCTAGTTGTTTTTCAGATGTTCTCAGGTGTTTCAAGCCGGTTTTTGGGGTATTTTCAGGTGTTTCTGGCTGGTTTTTTGGGTGTTTTCAGGTAGCTTTGGCTGTTTCTGGTTGTTTTTCAGGTGTTCTCAGGTGTGTCCAGACAAGTTCTGGGGTGTTTTGGGGTATTTTTTGGTGAGTTTGGATATTTCCTGTTGTTTATAATTTTCAGGTGTTCCCAACCAGTTTTGGGGGTATTTCGGCTGTTCCCAGCTGATTTTTTGGGTATTTTTGGGTGTTCATGGTCGGTTTTGGGGTATTTTGGGGTGTTCCCAGCTGATTTTTTGGGTATTTTTGGGTGTTCATGGTCGGTTTTGGGGTATTTTGGGGTGTTCCCAGCTGATTTTTTGGGTATTTTTGGGTGTTCATGGTCGGTTTTGGGGTATTTTGGGGTGTTCCCAGCTGATTTTTTGGGTATTTTTGGGTGTTCATGGTCGGTTTTGGGGTATTTTGGGGTGTTCCCAGCTGATTTTTTGGGTATTTTTGGGTGTTCATGGTCGGTTTTGGGGTATTTTGGGGTGTTCCCAGCTGATTTTTTGGGTATTTTTGGGTGTTCATGGTCGGTTTTGGGGTATTTTGGGGTGTTCCCAGCTGATTTTTTGGGTATTTTTGGGTGTTCATGGTCGGTTTTGGGGTATTTTGGGGTGTTCCCAGCTGATTTTTTGGGTATTTTTGGGTGTTCATGGTCGGTTTTGGGGTATTTTGGGGTGTTCCATTTTTAATTTTCTGATGAGTTTCGGTCGTTTCCCCAAATTTTTGGGGTTTTTTCGGGGGTATTTTTTCTCTTCTCCAGGTGTTTTTTTGGGTGTTTCCGAGTGGCTTTCACCCTGTTTTGGGAATTTTTTTGGGGTATATCCTGCGGTTTTTGGGCGTTTTCTGTTTTTTCAGACATTTTTGGGGGGGTTTCGGATGGTTTTTCTGGTGTTTTTTGGCTGAATTTCAGTTGTTTTGGGGTACTTCTGGGTGTTTCCAGCTGTTTTTCAGGCGTTTCCGGGTGTTTTTCACTGTTTCTGGCTGGTTTGGGGGTATTTTTTGGGTTATTTTGGGTGTTTCCAGCTGTTTTTCAAGTAATTTTTAGCATTTCCAGCTGTTTTGGGGAAATTTGGGTGTTTCTGGCTGTTTTGGGGGTAATTTTTTCCTTTTCTGGGTGTTTCCAGCTGTTTTTCAAGTAATTTTTAGCATTTCCAGCTGTTTTGTGGGAATTTTGGGTGTTTCTGGCTGTTTCTTGTTGTTTTTCAGGTATTTCCAGGTGTTTTTTCCTCTTTCTGGCTGGTTTGGGGGTATTTTTGGCCATTTTGGGTGTTTCCAGCTGTTTTCCAGGTGTTTCCCAGGCGATTTTTGCTGTTTTTAAGATGATTTGGTCTTTGTGTTTCCAGCTGTTTCTTGGGGTGTTTTTGGGCGTTTCCAGCTGTTTTTCAGGGGTTTCTCGGCCTGTTTCCAGCTGAGTTTTGGGGTATTTTAGGGTATTTTGGCTGTTTCCAGCTGTTTTCCAGGTGTTTCACCGATGCTCTCCAGCAATTTTCCTGTTTCCAGCTGATTTTTTGGGTGTTTTCAGGTGTTTCTGGGCGATTTTTGAGGTATTTTTGGGTGTTTCTAGTTGTTTTTCAGATGTTCTCAGGTGTTTCAAGCCGGTTTTTGGGGTATTTTCAGGTGTTTCTGGCTGGTTTTTTGGGTGTTTTCAGGTAGCTTTGGCTGTTTCTGGTTGTTTTTCAGGTGTTCTCAGGTGTGTCCAGACAAGTTCTGGGGTGTTTTGGGGTATTTTTTGGTGAGTTTGGATATTTCCTGTTGTTTATAATTTTCAGGTGTTCCCAACCAGTTTTGGGGGTATTTCGGCTGTTCCCAGCTGATTTTTTGGGTATTTTTGGGTGTTCATGGTCGGTTTTGGGGTATTTTGGGGTGTTCCCAGCTGATTTTTTGGGTATTTTTGGGTGGTTTCAGGTCGTTCTGGTTGTTTTTCAGGTGTTTTCAGGTGTTTCCAACCGATTTTTGGGGTATTTTCAGGTGTTTCCAGCCAATTCTTGAGGCATTTTAGGTGTTCCCACCTGATTTTTTTTTTGGTATTTCGGGTGTTCCCAGCCTGTTTCAGGTGTTCAAGGCCATTTTTGGGGTGTTTTTTTGTGGTTTCAGGTCTTTCTGGTTGTTTTTCAGATCTCAGGTGTTCCCAGCCGGTTTTTGGGATATTTCGGGTGTACCCAACCGGGTTTTTGGGTATTTTGACTGTTTCAAGCCGGTTTTCGGTGTATTTTCGGTGTTCCGGGCTGGATTTTGGGGTATTTCGGCTGTTCCGACCCGGATTTTGGGGTGTTCTCAGCCGGATTTTGGCGTATTTCGGGTGTTCCCAGATGAATTTTGGGGTATTCTGGTGTTCCAACCCAGATTTTGGGGTATTTCAGCTGTTCTGAGCCGGATTTTGGGGTATTTTTGGGTGTTCCAAGCCGCTTTTTGGGGTATGTTCAGGTGTTCCCAGCCAGATTTCGGGGTATTTCGGCTCTTCTGTCCCGGATTTTAGGGTGTTCTGACCCGGATTTGGGGGTATTTTGGGCTGTTCCCAGCCGGATTTGGGGGTCTTTTCTGTGTCCCAGCCGGATCTCAGGGTGTTCCCAGCCGGATTTGGGGGTATTTTGGGTGTTCCCACCTGGATTTGGGGGTATTTCGGGTGTTCCCAGCCGGATTTGGGGGCATTTTCTGTGTCCCAGCCGGATTTCGGGTGTTCCCAGATGGATTTTGGGGTGTTCCCAGCCGGATCTGTTCCCAGCCAGATTTGGGGGTATTTTCTGTGTCCCACCCGGATTTCGGGTGTTCCCAGCCGGATTTCGGGGTGGTTCCAGCCGGATTTCGGGGTATTTCGGGTGTTCCCAGCAGGATGTTGGGGCATTTCGGGTGTTCCCAGCCGGATTTGGGGGCATTTCGGGTGTTTCCGCGGGGGGGTGGCGCCCCCTAGGCGCGCAGCTGCTGCTGCAGGTGCTCCCCGAGCGGCAGCGCCCCCCAGCGGCTCAGCAGCCGCAGCGCCGCCGCCGCCAGCCGGAAGCGGAGCCACTCCCACCTGGGGGAGGGGACAGGGGGTCACGTGGGGGTCACACCCACACCTGGGGGTCACACCCACCTGGGGGTCACACCCACCGGGGGGCGGGGACAGCACACCCGTCCCTCACCTGCGGGCCATGATGCCGTACCTGTCCGCGGGCGCGCCCAGCGCGGCGTGCACGCTGCGGACGGTGTTGATGTTGCGGAACACCAGCAGCGGCACCCCTGGGCACACCTGAGCACACCTGTCACACCTGTCACACCTGTCACACACAGACACACCTGAGCACACCTGTCCCTCACCTGCGGGCCATGATGCCGTACCTGTCCGCGGGCGCGCCCAGCGCGGCGTGCACGCTGCGGACGGTGTTGATGTTGCGGAACACCAGCAGCGCTCACCTGGGCACACCTGGGCACACCTGAGCACACCTGTCACACCTGTCACACCTGTCACACACAGACACCACTCACAGACACACCTGGGCACACTCACAGACACACCTGGGCACACCTGGGCACACTCACAGACACACCTGGGCACACCTGAGCACACTCAGAGACACACCTGAGCACACCTGAGCACACTCAGAGACACACCTGAGCACACCTGGGCACACCTGGGCACACTCACAGACACACCTGGGCACACCTGAGCACACTCAGAGACACACCTGAGCACACCTGAGCACACTCAGAGACACACCTGAGCACACCTGAGCACACTCAGAGACACACCTGAGCACACCTGAGCACACTCAGAGACACACCTGAGCACACCTGAGCACACTCAGAGACACACCTGAGCACACCTGAGCACACTCAGAGACACACCTGAGCACACCTGAGCACACTCAGAGACACACCTGAGCACACCTGAGCACACTCAGAGACACACCTGAGCACACCTGAGCACACTCAGAGACACACCTGAGCACACCTGAGCACACTCAGAGACACACCTGAGCACACCTGAGCACACTCAGAGACACACCTGAGCACACCTGAGCACACTCAGAGACACACCTGAGCACACCTGAGCACACTCAGAGACACACCTGAGCACACCTGAGCACACTCAGAGACACACCTGAGCACACCTGAGCACACTCAGAGACACACCTGAGCACACCTGAGCACACTCAGAGACACACCTGAGCACACCTGAGCACACTCAGAGACACACCTGAGCACACCTGAGCACACTCAGAGACACACCTGAGCACACCTGAGCACACTCAGAGACACACCTGAGCACACCTGAGCACACTCAGAGACACACCTGAGCACACCTGAGCACACTCAGAGACACACCTGAGCACACCTGAGCACACTCAGAGACACACCTGAGCACACCTGAGCACACTCAGAGACACACCTGAGCACACCTGAGCACACTCAGAGACACACCTGAGCACACCTGAGCACACTCAGAGACACACCTGAGCACACCTGAGCACACTCAGAGACACACCTGAGCACACCTGAGCACACTCAGAGACACACCTGAGCACACCTGAGCACACTCAGAGACACACCTGAGCACACCTGAGCACACTCAGAGACACACCTGAGCACACCTGAGCACACTCAGAGACACACCTGAGCACACCTGAGCACACTCAGAGACACACCTGAGCACACCTGAGCACACTCAGAGACACACCTGAGCACACCTGAGCACACTCAGAGACACACCTGAGCACACCTGAGCACACTCAGAGACACACCTGAGCACACCTGAGCACACTCAGAGACACACCTGAGCACACCTGAGCACACTCAGAGACACACCTGAGCACACCTGAGCACACTCAGAGACACACCTGAGCACACCTGAGCACACTCAGAGACACACCTGAGCACACCTGAGCACACTCAGAGACACACCTGAGCACACCTGAGCACACTCAGAGACACACCTGAGCACACCTGAGCACACTCAGAGACACACCTGAGCACACCTGAGCACACTCAGAGACACACCTGAGCACACCTGAGCACACTCAGAGACACACCTGAGCACACCTGAGCACACTCAGAGACACACCTGAGCACACCTGAGCACACTCAGAGACACACCTGAGCACACCTGAGCACACTCAGAGACACACCTGAGCACACCTGAGCACGGTGTTGATGTTGCGGAACACCAGCAGCATGGGGGGGGGCGGCGCGCGCAGCACCTGCAGCACCTGCGGGAAGCGCCGCGCCGCCATGCTCTGCATGTAGCCCCGCTCCGCCGCGCTCAGCTGCCCCTCGGCGCCGCCGCGCAGGTGAGCGCCGGGGGGGTCCAGGTGAGCTCCGGGTGGGTCCAGGTGGGCTCCGGGTGGGTCCAGGTGGGCTCCAGGTGAGTCCACGTGAGTGACAGGTGAGTCCAGGTGAGCGCCGGGGGGGTTCAGCAGGTGAGAGTGGCGGCTCAGGGGGCGCTGCAGCAGCATCTCCGAGAACAGCAGGTAGTCTGGGACAGGGAACGGGCAGGTGACCCCCCAGGTGACCCCCAGGTGTCCTCAGGTACCCCCAGGTATCCTCAGGTGACCCCAGGTGTGCCCACGTAACCCTCAGGTGACCCCCAGGTAACTCCAGGTGACCCCCAAGAGACCCTGAATGACCCCCAGGTAACCACCAGGTATCCTCAGGTGCCCCTCAGGTGTGCCCAGGTGACCTCAGGTGCCCCCCAGGTAACCCCCAGGTAACCCTCAGGTAACCCCAGGTACCCCCAGGTGTGCCCAGAGGTGCAGCAGCATCTCCGAGAACAGCAGCGAGTCTGGGACAGGGAACGCGCAGGTGACCCCCCCAGGTGACCACCAGGTAACCTCAGGTGTCCTCAGGTACCCCCCAGGTGACCCCAGACAACCCTCAGGTGACACCAGGTAAGCTCAGGTGACCCCCAGGTGATCCCCAGGTAACCCCA